CCTGCAAATAGCCATCTGGCCGCGATATTATCAGAAGAGCTTTGCGCTTGTCTGTGATCTCGTGTTGGTTGACAGCAAGTTTCCAGTTGATGCACAGCAGAAAAAAAGCCTCATTAGCAGCATCTGCATCAAGAGGAAGTTGCTTAAAGTCAGCTCGCAAAGAAAAGAGCCTTAATGCCGAGAGGGAACAGGAGAAATTTACTGGAGATGCAAAAGAAGATAGCAAATGCATAAAGGGGAATTCCAGCTGTAGGACAGACCTCATCCGTGGACACGGGGTAGCTGGTATCTGGTGCTCAGGACATTAACACCGTCCTTCGGACAAGGTGTGGTAATACAACTTTTTAATCCCCTTACTGATGGTAAAGGCACACAAAGCCATTTCTAAAAGTAGACTAGACGAAGTAGACTAAAAAAAAAGAAGTATTTTTGCAGATGGACAAGCAAGAAATGCGAACGAGTTTTAACTGTCCTTTGTTTGAAAAGCTGATTCAGAAAATCACTTTGTGTGTGTGTGTTCTGCAGGAGATTTACAAAACCACAGAACAAGAGTGTTTGCTGTCCTTGGCTACTTCTGTATCGCAGCGCATTTTGCAGCAACCTAACATTTGATTGGTTTTAATGACATTTTACATCTTACAATAACATTTAATATCTTTAATAACTTTTTATATCTTATAACAGCTACATTGAAAGTAATTGTTGGCTCTTAAATACAAATGGAGGACTTTAGGAGAGAACACTTTCAAAACTATCTCAATTTGCAATGGCTAAATTTATGAAAAAGTTAATTTTATTTTGAAAAAAGGAGTTTTACTTACATCTATATTGTCTGGAGTTTCAATCCTCAGATTCTGAAAAATAATACATTAATTAAGCCTTCAAATATCATCTTCATTAACACTAATAAAAATAAAATGTCACATAAATGGATTGTTTGACTTCCAAAAAAAATTAAATAGTCGAGAGCAAGAGCATTCAGTCGATCAAATTTTAGGTTAGTAAAGTGGCAATTGAACTTACCTGGACGTCGTTGGCCATTGACTCGCACATTTGCTGTAGCAATGTCAGTAGTTCAGCCATGCTGCTCATCTGGGGAGCAGCAGAGATGCCCGCAGCCAGCAAGAGAAGGTAGAGATGGGTCTTCATCCTCCTGACGTGCTCAGAGAACCTATAAGGGCTTCTGGACCAGTCCTCTACCATTTTATGGTCTCTCTACAAGGAAATAACAGTTTAGGTTGATTTTTGAAACTGATAGGAAAAAATGCCATTTGTTGAGACTTTCTGGAAGAGAAAGGTTCCAGTAAATTTGGTGTTTAACCTTGGGGCACACTCCTTACCCAATCAGCATTTCCAGAGAAGTAGGTAATAGAGATATAAGGATGTGGCCTTTCAATTTTAGAATCAGTAAAACATAGAGCGACCCAAAGCATGACCAAGCAGTTGCTGTCTCCACGGCACTTCTCTAGAAATCGGAGTTTCTCTGATAACAGCCTGCGATCTTCTGATATGCAATAGGAAAAAGGCTGTGGTGTAAGAAAAAAAAAAAAAAAACAAACCCAAACCCCCTCAGAAAATATGCGGACCACTGCCTAGAAAGAGAAAACGTGCAATGCTCGTGGCAAAATTTTGTCAAAATGCAAGTATTCCGTAAGGATTAATTAATTTACAGCAGGAGAAGCCACTGCCCTGGAGCACGCGCTGGAGAGGGAGGGTGGCCCTGGGCACGGGCACAGCGAAGTGACCCCTTTTGGGTGGGGAAGGAGGGATGCAGGATGCCCTGAGCGTGTCCGCCTGGACCCTGCGGGTGCAGTCAGGGTCGGGGAGTTGGTTTTGTGCCGGGACGGCGGTGCCGGAGCTGCCCCGGGGGGAAGCCCACCAGGTTTGCCAGGGTCACGTCTAAGGTCTTAATTCACTGAAGGCTTATTGCCTGGCCAAACTGGCCAACTCGGTGACTTGCGTTTCCCTCTTTCCTGGAAACCGGAAAAAGCCCTTTTTGATTCCTTTTGAAAAAGAATCGTGCCATTTTTCAAAAAGCGCTGCTGCCTGCTCTCTGTTTGCAGGTTCCTGCGAGGGCAGCGGCCGTGGCGGCAGGCGGTCCGGCCCTGGTTCTCCTGGGCAGGAGCAGACCCGCCAGCTCCACTCTGCACGGCCGGGTGGCTCGCAGCCCGACGCCGCAGCAATTATGAGTAAGCACCTTAATATCTCAATACTTTGAATTGGGGAAGTCGAAAGTCAGTAGTGGTTGTGTGGCTTAGCTCAAGCTAACCTGCAAGCTGATTGCTGCCCAGTTTGTCATCTCTAACAGGAATAGGGGTTGGGTTTTTTCCACACTGCGTGCTTATCTGTCGAGCTTTCTCATCACCCAGCTCCGAGGATCACATCCTTGCAGGAACATGGACTCTGCACCAGCGCATCGCTGGGAGCTCTGCGGAGAACCTGCCTGGTGCCACCCGTCGTCCTCGGGCTCAATTTGTAAGTCATGCAGCTGAAAATATTAAGCCCCGTCCTTACTCTGCTGTGTTTCTGGTGTTTTAGAGCTGGTTTCTTTCGGTCTCCCACAAACTCATCCTCATTTTTCCCTTTGGCTGGCACCTGAGCTGTACCTGCCAGCCTGGCTGGGGTCTGACCCCACCGCTGGAGACCTCCGTGGACAACTTAGTGTTGAATTGCTGCGGGACCTCGGGGTTGGTTGGGAAATGTCTCTTCACCTTTTCCTCGGCCGACGGTTGGGCCGTCCCACGCTGCAGCGGTTCCCATCCCCACCAGGGATCGCCCACGGAGCTGCCTGCCCACGGTCCCCCCCACCTCGGGTCTCCTGTGCCAGAGAGCACATCTGTCTCCACTTCTGTTCCTGGCCAGCACAACTGCCAACAGATTTTATATCTCAGGCCTCTCCTTTTCCCTTCTCTTGCATTTGGGATTTTTAGCCACTTCTGCAGAATCCTAGCACTGTCCCAGAACCGTGCATGAACTGTACGATTTTTCTTAATTTTTTTTTTCCTTGGAAAAGTTTGGTTTCTTGTGTTCAGGAGATAATTCCCAGTTCCCGAGAATTATAGGGTATTTTTGTTGCAAATATCAGTCACACGACCTGGTCTTTCAGCAGGGCTTTGGCTACCTCCCAAAGGAACAAGACTGGTTCTTCACCATTGTGTGACCACTCTGTCTTCTTGTGACATGCCCCAAAATCATTAGACTTTGCAATGCAGGGTTTTTTTCCTTTTCCTTTTTTCCCCCTTTTTTCCTCTTCTGCTTCAGATTACAGAACTGCTCAAGTCCTAGCTTTTCTCTTTAAGCTGGCTCAGCGTCCCTACACAAATTGTAGTCGTGTCTTCCAGCCTCAGGTTCATTATTGTTCAGAGGGTTTGGGATTTTTTTTTAATGTGAATGCAGGGTTAAGAAGCTGAAGGACACTGTAAGAACAAAATAGGGCAACGCAAGCAACAGGTCCTGACCTCGATGCTGTACATCTTTGATGTCCCTCTGGAATTTGTCTTATCTGTGAGTATGGGCAGAGCAAAGGCGCCACAAACGCTGATGGAATTGGTAGGAATAAGAATAAGAAAATATTTCTGAAGAAACTCCGGAGACTGGAGAAAAAGACAGCAAGTGGAAATCCAAACTGTTGGATTAATCCAAAGTGACTCACTCTGAATTTGGAATGATCAGGAGTATGGAAGTCAATAAATAATGTAATTAATTAGGGAATTCATTAATTCTGATACTAATGGAAAAGGTATTTCGGTGGAAGTCAGGGTGTCATAGGCAGTGTTCACGTTATAGCTGATTTAGGAATATTATTGAAAAGAAGAATCAAACGTGAAAGCAAAGCTGTGCAAGGTGCTCCTGATGCCAGAGCTGCAAGCTGGGACCGTCCCCTGGGGCAAGGGCTTCTCTGCATCGGGAAATGGCGGTTCCGTGGGTAGGTGCCCGCAGTAACAGCCTTGATAGACTCGGCGAACGCCCTGTAAGAATCCAGCGGTGCAGTCTGCCATCCCGGCGTGCTCACCAAGCCCGTAATGGGCGAGACTAACGCTGAGCTTGCTTAAGCACGAGCTTTTCAGAACCTGCTCGTGGCTCAGTTGCATTGCCAGCACCAGGGCGGCTGTGGAGCTGCTCAGCGCTTGCTGCCTGGTACCCAGTGCAGGATTGATCCCCTGGCTGTAGCGGTGCCACGAAGCCCCTGCAGAAACCGCGGCAGCTTGAAACACTGCGGTGCCCAGAGGAGGTGGACCTAAAGTGGCACACAGGAACTAGCGAGCTATCGTATGCTACTGTCACCTTCGTATCTTTTTGCTGGCATCATTAGCTGGAAGCTGCAACTGTTTGCAGTAGGTGGTTTTGCTCCATCATCTAGATAAGCATGAAGTTATGATGCTCAGATAAGGCTTCTTTACTGGTGCCAGTACGTAGCGCAGCATGGATGATATGGTGCACTAGCTTGTGCCTCTCTAGCCTGCCAGGCTCAAGAAAATGGAAATTTCTGAAAATCAGGGTGCAGATTTCATTTCCCAGACTGCCTGTCCCCTGCAGACAGCAATGGCTGCTGGAAGCCGCCTGCGCCTCTCTGCCAGGGCCGGCCCCAGGGGAGACGGAGGACTCGATCGGAGCAGTGCTGCAGGGTGCAGGTAACGCTCTGGGTGCTTCGGGGTAGGGAGCCCGCTGCGATCCCCCCCCCCTCCCCAGCCCTGCCCTGAGGCGTAAGGAACGAGGGGTGTCCGAGGGGTGTCCGAGGGGTGTCCTCTGGTGCCCCAGCACTGCTGGCCGAGGCGTGCAGCCCACAGGCACTGTTGGGGGGGACACGCTGTGCAACAGTGTGTGGGTGTTTCGGTGGTAAATGGGACGAATGTGTAAATGTGTGGGCACCCTAGGGCAGCGTGACATTTGTGACAGGCTCTGCATTGTCCTTTTCCTCCCTTATCTGAAAGAGCAGGGTAGATGTATGAGGAGATCGTGGGGCTTTGGGGACCATATCTTGTTTTTTAAGCTTCCTTATTAAATGGGCAGCTTTTGAGCTAATGTTATCTCACATGTGAAAACCACGTTCCATCAGTTAACCTCATTAGTAAATGATGTGTCCCGTTTGTTAAAGATAAAGTGTTTCCTGGGCATCTGAAGTGGCTGCCATGTCCCACCTGCGCAGATGCTCTGTGGCCCCGTACGGATTTCAGCTGCAGCCAGCGTTTGGCCACACAAAAAGCGGCGGCGTGTGGGAACCCCTCCTGACCGGCTCCTCTCTCGGCTCCTGGGAAAGCAGCGCTGCTCAGGACCGCAGGGTTTGCCTCCTCCTGAGCGGATCCAGCCCAGAGCCGAGCAGGTGACACGGGGGGGCCGGGGCGGCTCCGGCCACCGGCTCTCACTTCGATTAGAGTTTGAATATGCTTCTACTAACCTGCAGAAACGCTCTGAAACGCTTTCTCTCAGTGACTGGGCTTCAGTCTTTTGTGCTGGGGGCAAATTTTCTGACCCTAAACTGCCCCATCTCCTGGGGTTGTAGAGAGCATTTTTCCCTTAGGTATGCTCTCCCCTCTTCCAGACAGCAACAGAGAAAAGCCAGGGAGGTGCAAAGAGCAGGTCGCTAGCAGGGGGCCTTGAGTCATCTTACAGCATTTAGGGAATGAATACATAGCTGTCTGCGTGCCCCCTGTGAGGGCGGCTGGTACAGCGAGGTACCTACGCGTGTGCAAAACCAGGCTGGGATGCTCCAGCAGCGAGCAGAAATCCTGCTTCGTGCGATGGAGGGCAAAGGTGATAAACCCCTGGGCTTTGTTCCTGCTAGAGGAGCATCCCGAAGTAGTGCCGCTCCATAGTGCAGTTCCTGGAGCACCTCTGCCACAGAAACAGCTCTGGTGGTGTTCAAAAGCCAGTCGCAAGCCAGGGAAATTGAGAAATTTTGTAAAGACTGGTCTTGATCTAAATTGCATGAAGTAAAATATTTTCTTAGGAAACAGGCTGTTAGAAGGAATGTTGTTTACAGTTCTGCAACAGTCCGTGGCAGCGACTGCTTTCTGGAAACAACATGCGCAACATCTGACCAGTTTTTGGGGGAAGAAATGTTTTAACTCTGCTTGGGGAGATGGGAGCCTGCCGCGCAGAGGTGGACTGTGTCGGGGTACACCGGGAACGATGCTCTGGCTGGTTTTTAA